TGTTGCAGGTGCAATAACTTCTCCTGATTTCACCGACTCCTCTGCAATTTCAGCAACAATTTCACTGTCCTTTTTAGGTACCTCGCTGTCTTTTTCTGTCTCTACCAAAGTTGGTACCTCTGATTTTGCGACATCCTCTTTCTCCTCCTTAACCAGTGGTTTTTCCAATTCAAAGCTTCTCTCAGTTGTAATTACTTCCGAACTTACTGAATCATCACCAACTTTAGTACTAGGGATTTCCTCTGTCTTTGGGACCTCTCTATATTTGGCGGCCTCTTCCAATTTTGGAGCATCAGCTTTATTTTCTGGGACAAATGCTTCTGGTTTCACAAAATCATCAGCAAGTTCAGCACTAAGAATGTTCTCTGTTGTTGGAGCCTCACTATCTTTGTCATGCTCAGTAAAAGTTGGAGCATTTTCTTTTGTGACCTCATCTTTCACCTCCTCTGCAGCCACTTCTGTTGCAGGTGCAATAACTTCTGATGATTTCACCGACTCCTCTGCAATTTCAGCAACAATTTCACTGTCTTTTTTAGGTACCGCGCTCTCTTTTGCAGTTTCTACCAAAGTTGGTATCGCCGTTTTTGCGACATCCTCTTTCTGTTCCTCCTGCACCACTGGCTTTTCCAATTCAAAGCTTCTCTCAGTTGTAATTACATCTGAACTTACTGAATCATCCTTAACTTTAGTACTAGGGATTGCCTCTGTTTTTGGGTCCTCACCATCTTTGGCGGCCTCCAATTCTGGAGCATCAGCTGTAATTTCTGGGAAAAATGTTTCTGGTTTCACCAAATCCTCAGCAAGTTCAGCACTAGGAATGTTCTCTGTAGTTGGAGCCTCACCATCTTTGTCATGCTCAGCTAAAGTTTGAGCATTTTCTTTTGTGACCTCATCTTTCACCTCCTCTGCAACCACTTCTGTTGCAGGTGCAATAACTTCTTCAGTTTTCACCAACTCCTCTGCAATTTCAGCAACAGTTTCACTCTCTTTTTTAGGTACCTCGCTGTCTTTTTCCGTCTCTACCAAAGTTGGTACCTCTGGTTTTGCAACATCCTCTTTCTCCTCCTTAAACAGTGGTTTTTCCAATTCAAAGCTTCTCACAGTTGTAATTACTTCCGAACTTACTGAATCATCACCAACTGTAGTACTAGGGCTTTCCACTGTCTTTGGGTCCTCTCTATCTTTGGCGGCCTCTTCCAATTTTGGACCTTCAGCTTTATTTCCTGGGACAAACGCTTCTGGTTTCACAAAATCATCAGCAAGTTCAGCACTAAGAATGTTCTCTGTTGTTGGAGCCTCACTATCTTTGTCATGCTCAGCAAAAGTTGAAACATTTTCTTTTGTGACCTCATCTTTCACCTCCTCTGCAGCCACTTCTGTTGCAGGTGCAATAACTTCTGATGATTTCACCGACTCCTCTGCAAGTTCAGCAACAGTTTCACTCTCTTTTTTAGGTACCTCGCTGTCTTTTTCCGTCTCTACCAAAGTTGGTACCTCTGGTTTTGCTACATCCTCTTTCTCCTCCTTAA